GACTGAAACATTTTCATAAAGCAACTCATTCTCTCTGTCTTGCCCTGCTTGCTAATTGCCAATGCTGTGTATTACAACTAAGCTTTTGACTCTCTCCTACATAGTCCACACACACTCACAGTTTTTTGATCCTGCCGAGAAGTTATAATTCTGAATTTGTGACAGTAGTGTTATTACCAAGGCAACAAGCTAAAATCAAATAGTACTATTACTTCCCAGCAGGATCATGCAGGAGAAAAAGCTGAACTATAAAAAGCTTTTAACAACACACATATGGCTTCAAAGGTGAAACATGAAGATACAAAGATACTAGGAAGGTGCATTTCTCTATGCCAGCATTCTTTGATGATTGCATTTCTAGTGCATTTTGTGTAGGCCATCACAGCCGTAAGAGTCTTGTTCAAATTGTAATAGTTAACAGTTGAGAGTTTTCATGTTTAAGACAACAATTTCTAGACTTAGGAGTACAACATGTCCACTAATTTGGTACTCCATTGGCCCCATAGTGCTAAGGTTCATGTGAATATCACTGCAATCTCCTGTTAGGCAGTTAAAATCTTAGGTAATTTTAACTCTTCAGTTAGATATTTTTTAACTGAATCCCCACATTCAAGCAAGGTTACATATTATGTGGGTGTCCTGGAAAGTAATAGCAAATTGCCTACCCAATATACACATCAAAGTTACTGAAGAAGTGAAGCTTTCTCTGTGGTGGCGCCCCATCTATGGAATGTGCTCCCCAGAGAGGTCCGCCTGGCGCCGTCGTTATTTGTTTTTCAGCGCCAGGCTAAGATCTTTTTATTTAAAACTTATTTTAATTGTTAAATTATTTGGATTAATAGGATTTTAAATTTTTAGCCAAGAATGCACCAGGGGTTCTTAAACAATTTTTTAGAATTGTTACATTGGTATTATTTATGTATTTATGTATCCTTTGTGAGCCACCTCGAGGCTTTGTTGTGATGGGGGCGGCATAGAAATGTTTTAAATAAATAAATAAATATTTTCAGGAAGAACTGAAAAGAAATGACTTCCACCTGAGTGTATCTAAGGCAAGGTGAAACAGTGCGTCCCTCTCTATCAACTCAGCCATTTGGTTCTTCTGCCAGAACTGCCTCCACCAGCTCCATTCTACCTGGTTATTATACAACATCATGTAACAGCATGACACAATTAGTATCTGAATTAGTACCTGAATTTCCTTTTTCTATTAGGTCTCTTAGATTGTATATCATTATAAATTGTTATTGCTTTGAAGGATTTTGAGAAAGGTATATAGAAATGTAGTAAAAAGAACTAGTTTATTTAAGAGCTGCAGTTTAAACAATCATAATATTTCCTCTCACTCTCTCCTCAGACAATAGCCATTTGTGAGTCAGTCTGTTACAATGCCTCCCCTTTTCAAAATATCCAACTAGAAAATACATGGCAAAAACCTAAATGCCTGTAATGCAGCTTTTCAGCAGTAAGCCATTAAGGGTATGGGTCACTGAATATGTTGAAGGTTACCACTTGATGTGACATGCTAATATGAGTCATAACATTTCAACTGACAGCAAGTCAAACAATACAAGGTTAAAACTTACAAGCTACAGTATTAATGCATTTCTAAAGCTATTCACAGGGAAGATACCAGTCCCTATTCAAAAAGCAATTTCTTTACACAAGGAAAATGATGAAAACTTTTGAAGTGCTGACATGCCTTGCATGCACAAAAAGTCATGCTTTTTATCTTTAACCTGTTTATTTACAAATATCTTAGAATGTGGATAATAGCTTAAATTCTTTTTGGTTTTTTTCTGTTATAGTAATGATTTCTATAGTGGTTATTATGGGCATGTATAAGTAACTTTGAGGTTGTGTTTTGAAGTATACAGTGATGCATATATTTAAATAAATAAATAAATAAATAAATGCATTGGAATGTGCATTTCTAAGACTTAGCTCCTAATAATTTACTTTATAAAGATCTTTAAAATGTGCCACCTAAGCTATTTTGTTTTTCAACTATTCAGACAAACATATATGCATTTCTTAGTAGTTATCATTAAAAATTCTGGGGAGAGCAATGTGATGCTGAAGTCATGAAGCCTGTTTGGAGATGGAATGGAGCAGAAGGTAGAGGTCTAAAGTAATTAGGCTCTACTAGGGGGCATGCAAATTTCACCTTATATCTTTGACTGCTGGAAGTAACACTCAATAATCTATTCCCCTATTTTTGAAAATGTAAACTTCACAGTTGTTACAAGGATTTGTCTCCAACCTTAAGCAAAACACACATGTTCCTTGGTAGTCAGAAAATGGACATAAAAAGAAAAATAGCAGTTTATATATTAACAAAGATGGAGATAAATTTTGTGGATTGCGCTATGTAAAAGAAAACCCAATCTGGGCTTCTTGGTGGTTGCACAGAAGAAATCTCAGAGTAGCATTCTGTTCTCTCTGATTGTATAATTCTGATCTTGAATAGCTAAATTAACCAAATTTTATATTTTAAAAAATGAGGGAATCCCCCAATACATGTTTGGATATCCCAACAATCTGAGGTGTAACCCGCATCCTACTAGAGTCTAACCAATTTAGGTCTGTGCATCCTCAACCATGCCATTGTGATAAATGATGCAGTTTCCTTGACACCAATATCAAGCCACTTTTTCCCTCTTCTTCCTTTCCCTCCCTTTTTTAACAACTTGCTTGATGAAAAAAAAATGCGAGTTTGCTTTCAATGTTGCACATAAAGGTTTGAGTCAAAAATGGGTATCTGACTATATGTTTTAGAATTTTTCTCATAGGACTGCATGGCTTAATTGCTTTGTATTCAACATTTTCTCTTCTATATCCAACTTTTATATTTTAATGTTTATCAAACTCTATGTTGGTCCTTAGAGGAAAAGAGATACACTATTGCATGGCCTCTCAGACATTGCCTAGGGACTATGTGATTTCTCTCTTAGAATTCTTGCTTTTTTTACTAAATGCAAGAACATTTCAACCACACACAAAGCACCAACTCCATCTAGAACAACCAGAATTTTGTTAACTTAGCATAAATAGCCTAGTTCATTTTTCCACTGCTTTTGGGCCAAGAAGTCTATTTTTATCAAACAACAGAAAGTACTTGTCAGAAGAATTAAACTTTAATGGAATAATATTCTATTGTACTACTAAATGATCGGATTTGTCTATATGGAAAAGAAAGCTCTGAAGTCTGAGATGTTTGCTCTCACTGTTAGAAAGATATATTGTAATCATGATATGCAAGCAAGATATGGAAAACCACCAAGGACTGCATAGGCCTAAACTAGCACACCTGATCCTAAGTAGCTCTCATACAAAGCTAAACTATACAGAAAGATAATCCTGAGGCAAATTGGCTTCCCTAAAATAACTGAGATATAAAGATATCATCAACAGCATTTACAGTAGGGGTCCAGGGCTCACTCTAGAGTTCACTGTTACTTCATTTACTCCAGCGTGTTGCGCTGCTGCACTGACCATGCACAAGGTTTTCTGTTAAATGTTTAATCCAGAATTTTCTTTTGAAATTCTCATTGGCTGTCTTTTGTCTCTCTATAGGTGAAGTTTTTTATTTGTTGTTTGCTGCTGTGCTTTATTGCTCTGAGACTCAGGTGAAAGATGGGATAAAATGCTTTTAATAAATAACATTTTAAAAAATATATCCTTTTCTCTGAAACTCTATGTTACCTTCCTCCACCTCTATCCACTTTTATCCCTATATGCTCTTTTCACACCCCACTGCACTTGTTCTCTGGATCCTCAGCTGAGCTATTTTTTTTCTTTCTTCAATACTACTTTTGTCTCTTGTCTCCACAGCTCTCTCTGTACTCCATCTGAACATGGGAGGAAGTTTGCAAGGCCACAGAATTGTGAATTTAGTTCAGTGTTGTTTCCAAAAGTTGCCTGTCAGATATCTCCAAGGCTAAGTCTACAAGCAAAGGTATGATGGCAGCAAACCTCTCCTAATGTCCACATCTGGTGATTAGTAGAATTGTGCATCTGCTTAGCTACTTTGGCTAAAATTCATTTACAGACCTGTCTTCAATTCATTTTAACTATTATTTTTAATATCTTCTTCCTCCTCACCAAATGAGTGGCACAACAGTTCCTACCAAGGGAATATTGTTGCAATAGGCAAAAAAAAAAAAAAAAAAAAACATGGCACCAACACCAGCATGTATTACTAAACCCAAGGAGAAGAAACTGCATAGAATATAATGAGGGTCTTCCTGAGGAGCCTCTTAATGACCCTGTACAAGCATGAATATTCCCACAAAGACTTGGGAATGAACACAAACAATGCAGATTTTGAATTGCTCAGGGGCAAAGAAGAGAGCTGGAAGTGTCTTATGTTGTGCAGGCCATACTTAGGAACATCAATCTGCATGCAAGCCTAGAACAAATTAATCAAAAACTAACAGTTAAAGACTTGCCAATCATTTTCTTTTTAGGATGTGATGCATTTTAATACAATATTGAAAAAGATGTCTGAAAAATAAACGTGTGTGTGAGTGTGTGTTACAGTATACCCCCATGAAGTCGTGGTTCAGCGTTCGCAGCCTTTCTTTCGTGGAATTTTTCTCCAAGCAAGTCCAAGCCTTATCTCCTTGCAAGTAAGCCGGCACCTCACTGTGCGGCGGCTTACTTGCAAGGAGATCGTTTCCTCTGAGTTTGCACTCACTCTGAGAAAACAATCTCTGAACATGCGCGCCCCTGCCCCATCATGCGCATGCCCCCCCCCCCGGCCTGGGCCGGTCCACACCTCCCACCTGCACCACCTTGGCGCCCGGCACTCATCGCTGGCACCAAATTCGCGGTTTTTCACAATTTGCAGGTGCTTTAGGAAAGTAACCCCTGCGAATTTTGGGGGACTACTGTACTAACATACTAATGACTGAAGCAGTTTAAAAATATGTTTACATTCCACTGTTTAAGTGTTCATGTTGCAATATTAAGAAAAAGTAGAAAAAAGTGATACATACATGACTGTATTAATACCTGCCAGTTGTTGGAACATTTGTAGACTACAGCCTACAATTAATTCTCTTCGTGTTGGAGGATAGGTCAGCATTCTGTATATCACAGGACCACCTTCAAACAAACAAACAAAATTAATGAGTCACTATGTTCACTATTTCCAAACTCCATTTATATCATATATCCTTATTACAGATGCCAGATTAAACTGAAGATAAACAGCTATTTAGTACAAAGCAATAAGTCTTGAAATATTGTTGTTTTGGTACTGTAATCAATGAAATAAAATGATCAAACCTTCCAAAGGCAAAAAGATATCAAAGGTGGATACTTCAGGTCAATGGCAAATGGAAGGAGGACTGCAGAGGTGATCCCATGAGCCATAAGTAACATTTGACTGATTTATAATATATCAATATCTTTGATAAGAATGAAATCAAATAAGAATTCAAGACGGTCTTTATCATTCACGTTTTTGGGATCATCATCCTGTTCTAACAGCTGTGATATAAATACTTGCTGCTATTTGCAAAGCAGTAGTAAGCTACACAGAACTTATTTTTGTCTCCAGATGGATATGCCATAAACTAGAATATTTAATCCACTTGTTAAATTGATAAGAAATGCAATGAGTTTTATGAATGTACCCTCCTCAATGCGTTTGTTTGCTTCTTTGGTCAGAAAGAAATCTTAATAATTGCAAACAAAATTAGTTTAAGACAGACCAGAAACTATTGCTCAAATAGTGGGATGTTTTTCACAACACAACAGTACACCATGAATAATTTAACCCAAAGTGAGGCTGCAGGGTGTGTTTAGATACCATTTTGCATATCCATCCTCCACTTGGGGCTGTCATGTGTGCTAAAAAGGTGAGCATAGGTTATGTGTGGGTTAAAAAGGAGCACAGCTAGAAGAGAACATGAGTTATGTAAAGGTTGTCTAACCATTGCATGACCTATGCTTGCCAGATTTATGCAATGAACATATATTGGAGCTGGATAGCTAAAGTGTTGTTCGTGGGTACTACAGCACATTGCAAGTTTATTAACCCATTACAAGTTATATAGTTGCTGCCTAAACAAGTAAAAACCCTGATTTGTTAGTTTGTAGACTGATAAAGAAACTACACTAGTAGGGAATGCAAATATATTGCCTTTATAGATGCTGAAATCTATATGAACAAAAAGCACTAATTTGCCATGAAATTCTTCTATGAAGTTTTATTCTATATTTTAAACTTCTGTCAAGCTGTATTTCTATATTTTAGGAAATGTCTGTAACATATGACTACAACCATAAAAAATGTTTATAAGACTAGCACATATGTTCAAAGTAACTTTTATAACCAACAAACTCCTTTATTCTTTGAAGGATCATCACACTAACATTTTATACTAGGCTACTCTATGATAAATAGGTTGAGCATTGTAATTAATCAAAATGTTCAATGAAATAATAAGGCACACATGCATGCGCTAAGATCACTCTATATTTACATTTCTGAAACTGTGGAACTGAACATACACCAAGAAAGATGTAGCCCCACTACAACCCTTCATCAGGATATAGTCAGTCTGCAGAGATTCACTAGGATGAGTCCTCAACTTAAAAAAAATAACAGAATAGCTACTTAGGAGGTTACATGAGGTATTCATTCATTCATTCATTCATTCATTCATTCATCATTTTTATATCCTGACTTTTTCCTTTCAAGGAAATCAAGGCAATTTATATAATTCTCCTCCTCTCAATCATATGCTCCCAACAACAACCCTGTGAGGTAGTTTGGACTGTGAGTCTGTGGCTGGCTCAAAGTTACCCAGTGAGCTCTATGGCTGAGTGGGAACCAGAACCCAGACCTCCTGAGTTCCAGCCCTGTGCTCTTCATCACTACGCCACATCGGGTTCTAGTGCAAGTGTGGACCTGGTATTAAAAACCATCAACAAAGCAGATGCTGGACTTCAGTTTTTAGTATTCCTTACTATTGCCCATGCTGGTGAGTGCTAATAAGGATTGAGTCCAGCAAAATCTGGAGAGTCATACAGTCCCTACCCTTGATATGCCAAAATAGCAACTGATAAAAAACCTCCTTGTTTAAAGAATGAGTTGCCTTCATTTGGAAGAGCACCTGTAGCTTATCTTAAATTGTAGCAGGTGGGGAGAGGTGATTTCCCCTCCCATTTAGAAGCTGTACATCAAAAGAGATTTAAGCCTCTAAGGCAGCTCAACATTATCAGTAACCCTAGGTCCATATATTCACACGAGATCAAATGCATGCTTTCCAGAGAAAAACACTAACCATACTATCTGAAGGTATTATTATATTATTTATCAAATCATGCATGAACTTATATATGGCTTTTCCTGTTTGTTCTTCAGCATTATTCTTTACCCACATGTTAATTTTAACATTAAATGATAACTCAGCCTATACATATGAAGAAATTTAAAAAGGCAACTATGCCTAAAATTTAAGACCTCTCAGAATGTCTTTCACTTATTGTTCTGTTCACTTAGTACTTTTTTTAAAGCCAGGGCTAAAGTGACCATTTTGATTAGAGTGAAAAGGCTAAATATCCCCTTGAAGTTGTATACAGAGCTAAGTTATTTAACTGTTATCAAAAAATTTAACTGTTATTTCCTTCAAAACCCTCTTTCCCCCTTCAAATGGCAAGAGGGGGAAACAAAACTGCACCCTATTTATAGCCAAATATAGGAATTCTGGACAAGATAGGTGTTTTGGTATTAAGTATAGAAGTAAACAATTCATAAATATAATGTAAAAGTACTAGCTTGATCTACTAAAGTTTAGGTATACAAGAAAAGCCAATTTGACTTAAAGTATTTCTTACTTTAAGATTAAATATAGCTCTTGGCCTGTTTTACCAATGGGAGCAATTTATTTCAGAACCATGGTTTTATTCTGTCGGAGCAGAATCATGATATATTATCATGCTTGAAACCAATTCATCACTGGATACACAAAGCAATACTAAATTCCAAAATACATCACTAGCTGCATAAAAATATCCTTTAATTTTCATAAAAAGCTTTTGTTGTTGCTAGTTGCGAAGTCGTGTCCAACCCATCACAACCCCATGGACAACATTCCTCCAGGCCTTCCTGTCATCCACCATCTCCCGGAGTCCATGCAAGCTCACACCAACTGCTTCAGTGACTCCATCTAGCCACCTCATCCTCTGCCGTCCCCTTCTTCTTTTGCCATCTATTGTTCCCAGCATTAGACTCTTCTCCAGGGACTCCTTCCTTTTCATTAGGTGGCCAAAGTATTTCAGTTTCATCTTCAGTATCTGACCTTCTAAGAGCAGTCAGGGTTGATCTCCTCTAGGACTGACCGGTTTGATCACCCTGCGGTCCAACGGACTCACAGAAGTCTCCTCCAACACCACAATTCAAGGGCCTCAATCCTTTTGCGCTCAGCCTTCCTTATGGTCCAGCTTTCACAGCCATACATTGCAACTGGGAAAACCATAGCCTTGACTATACGCACTTTTGTCAGCAGGGTGATGTCTCTGCTTTTTAGTATGCTGTCTAGATTTGCCATAGCTTTCCTCCCCAGGAGCAAGCGTCTTTTAATTTCTTGGCTGCAGTCGCCGTCTGTGGTGATCTTGGAGCCCAGGAAAATAAAATCTGTCACTATCTCCATTTCTTCCCCATCTATTTGCCAGGAAGTGAGAGGACTGGATGCCATTATCTTAGTTTTCTTAACCAGAAATACTAATTTTCTTATTTTGTATGTAATTTTAAAATCTCTAAAGGTTTGTAAACTATAAAACACCTCACTTTTCTCTCTGCAACACTTCCTTGCTATTAAATACAGTTTATCATGACTGTATATACTGTTTATGTACAAACTTATGTTAAAAAATGCCATTGCCTATTGCAGTGAAGCTAGAACCATAGAATTATAACTTCAAATACTGCAAATTCAAATAATGCAACTACTTCATGCAATTCATTATCCACACTGACTGAATACTTTCAGTAATCAAGAATCTATACAATAAGGGCCACTTATTTTTAAGTGTTAAGCAGTACCCACCTTGTAATAAACATTTTGTAGTATATCATGAAAACTATAATTGTTTAAAATCCTTAAGCAGTGTTGTGATTTTAAGTTTGTAGACTTCTTAAAAAACTGAACATCCTGGATTGCCCTTCCACATATTGCCTTTGTTACTGCTACGATATGCGAAAAGGTTCCTACAAATATTTGGACTGTGATAAACTTAGAAATGATCTCACCAATGCTGAGAATCCCATCCACTTTCCTCCTAGCTGAAACCATGTTCTGAAAAATTATGAAAAATACATGTTTTGGAATGTGGTTAACTCACTAAACCTGTAGGTGAAGGACAGGTTTTCTACTCTTGCTTCAGAGTATTGTCCTCTATCAGTATTTGCATGTACTCACTGCCAAATACCAATTATGAAATCTAGACATGATCTAATGGAAAGTTGTCCACTGGGCATTACTTTCATTGTGAGGTACTGAGCATGAGAGCATTTTCAGATACCTAAGGTGAAATAAAAATAAGCATGTATAATTTGTATGGCAAGGAGTATCATATATTGAAATTGACGTAGATAATTCTACACTTGAAGCAGCTGATTAAATTGGTAGAGCAATTATTCTTTTTTGAGACCCTTTTATTTTACTGACTTGCTAAAATTGTAGCATGCATATAGGTCCTGTCTTGTTTGCCAGCAGTAAAGTCTAAGTCCTAGCTGATTTGTGAATACAGAATGGCCTGGACCATGGTCATTGTGACTTCTTTAGTGAACCCTCCCTACTGTACAGCCAAGCCAGCTACCTGGTTTAACACAGAGTTTGGAGCAATGAAACAGAAGGGATATTGCCAGAGCACCTTTGGAGGAAAACTCAGGATAAATCAGATTTAACAGACAAGAAGGAACATTTGAAGAACTATAGTATGGTGAAGCCAGCAAAGAGAATCTGTTTGCCATTGCTACATCCACATACTTCATCCTAACAGTTGCACAGCCATGCCTCCACACCAAGCTCTGAAGTAAAGAAGAATGCTGGAGGTTATTCAGTAACAGTGTGGCTAAATCACCTGGAGAGCTT